TTATTTGTAACTAAATTTAATTTCTATATATATATATATATATATATATATATATATTTTATACGAAAAAATGACATTTGTGTGTATGTCATAGTTTTTTCTATGCTCATATTTGTGGTTCAAGATAGGTTTGGGCCTTGAAGATCATCACAAGATTCACAACAGCTCTACATATATAACTCCTAGGGTTAGATTATTCGAAACAACTCAATCTTGAAGTAGTATAGTAAAGAACCCTAACCATTGAGATATATCTATAGTTTGATATAAAAACATGAAACAAGTCTAGATCAATTCAACACAAACATTTTATTTCACAACATATATAATACATGAAAATAATACAATAAAGGAGTTTAAATAGGATAATCTAAATTACAAGAACGTTACAAAATAGATATACTAAAACACACTGAACAACAACAACAACAACAAAAAGGTGAAAATGAATTAACCAGTCATGCAACCAACACCATAACGAGTGGTCGGGAAAACAAGAAACAAAGCACTACAAACAATTCCGACCATTATAGGGAAACTCTCCATAACTTGATCCATCTCTTTCTCTTTCCCTGGAAACAAACATCCCGTAACTCTTCTGTCCGAAAACGCTATCGCCATAAACACCAACACACTCATCACCGCATGAACAAAGTCGTTAACCTTCAACTTATACCTATCATCACTCACGGGAATCTCAGCCTCCGCGATCACATCCCCTCCTCCGAACTCCGGAGGCGGCGGTTTCATGAACACGGCGAGCCCACGTGGAGTAACGAACCCGTAGTAGATTTTCCCGTCGGAGGCTTTGAAACTGTCGGTGAAATGGAAGAAGAAGCAAGACATGGCGCAAAGAAGCAAGAGGAGATGGATCATGAGCGTGTTGATCCCGTTACAGTCTCCGTCACGGTAGATAGACGGGAGAACCATCTCGAACATCAAGAGTGTTCCTGTCGGAAGGAAGTTGACGAGCATTGATGTTTTCGAAACCGTCTTTTGAACTCCTTGTGCCACCATGCGGCGTTTACGACCTCTTCCTCCTCCGGCTGCGGCTCCTGCAGGGAGTGTGGGAAGAGAAGAGATTGAGACGGGTTTTGGTGAACGTGACGGTGGTGGTGATGGTGATGGTTTTGCCGACGGGGTCGTCGCCGTCGTGTAGACTCTGATCCCTACACTTTCTTCTTTTCTCTCCATTTTTTCTTGTGTGTGATTAAACTAAAGTTTTGCTTTCTTCGTCTCTTGCGTGAAATGGTTTGACGGAGGATGAGAGTTTTGTATTTATTTTGAAAATCACGTGACGGTTATTGACGGTTATAGAGTTTCATCGGTCGACGGTTTTCGTGGATTTGGAATTTTTTTTACTTTCTCTCGGATTTAGGAAAAAAAAACACGTAGAAATTAGTGTTAATGGGCCTTAAAATCCATCAATTGGCCCAAGCCTTCTTCTTTGAATGATATTATAATTTTTTTTTACAAACAACGTCTACTTTGATAAAAGATGTTGGAAAAATGTCATATAGTTTTCATATACGTATTATAATTTGATAGGTGTAACTAAGAATTTTTTTTGGCTTTCAGAGGAGATTTGGAGCTATGTGACGACTTTTAAATTTACACATTTTCCTAATGTTAAAAATTGAGACAAAACACTTTAGAATTGCTAAATGATATTACTAAGCAAATTCTCCCTTAGTAGGTACGTGAGAGCTTTTCTAATGGAATGATTTTATGAACGAGCTCCAATATTAGGGTTTGAAGAAGCAATAAATGGAACTTACCTAACAAGTTAGATATTGTCACTCACACAATTAACAAATTCACCGGACAGTCATTTCTCATATTTACTACAATGTTTGGTGATCGATAGAGATGTGTATAGTTTCTACTTTATACCCTAGATCACATATAGATGCACAAGAAGTACAATATCTTTGTACTAGTTACTTTGTACTGGGTTAAAATGTAAGTTATTAAATTGGATATGTATGATATCGACTTCACATAACTCAAATACTTATTCAAGTACACACTTCGAAGTACTTGCTTCTTTTGTACCATAGTCAGTACTCTACTTTATACTCTCACAGTTTGTACTATTTCATGTAGTAGACAAATGTACTATTTAACCTTTTCATGCATTTCCCCACTGGTTAAATGTGTGTATTAATATACTTTGTAAGAAAAATGTAACTCGAATTATTAACTTTGTGGTTTTCTTTGTGTCTCTGTTTGATATCTGTTCTACAACAATGATGTTTTATATAAGAAAACACAATATAGAAGAAACCATTAGATAAAGACATACATTATATAATACAAATTACAATGGAGGTGTACAGATCCATGCATAACATAGCATTCATCATGCCCTTCTTGGGGGAAATAAGATAGTATAAGCTTATAAATATAATTCAAGACTATGATGTATGAACTGTTGTTATAATTGTACAAAGCTATTGGAAGACGAGCCTATGCTTGCAGCGAAACTAAAACATTAATGAGCAATTGGAACTGATAGTTTTAAATCTCATTAAGTACGAAACACCTTCAAATATATGTTTTACTTCAAGCAAAGCAAGACAATGTCTCTTACAAACTTGAAAGATCTTTTCATAATTTTCTCCAAATGTCTTTTTTTCTTTCTCTTCTAATCGTCCAAACGACTCATATATTTCTCTATATATATTCTCATTCCTTTGCTTGAACTAGTTCTCTCCAAAAATCTTGGAATAACAACTACACTCACAAACGAGAGAAGTTTACTCCACCTTCTTTTAATTTGCTCTCATATTTGTTTTTTTTTTTTTTGGTTATTTACGTTAATTACTATACGTTCGTTGTCCCAAATGTTTACTAAGGTCCGAGAAAAATCTAGATCGGCTGGTCTCATCTAAGGCCTTGAATGTGAGAAAAAAGCCATTGTTGTTCAGCCAAGGATGACTTGCCGGCAGCTTAATATTTTGGTGGTGAGGTGTGTGACGACAAAGCGAGCCCGGCCGGCAAGTTATCTCTGGCTACACAACTGCTTCTTTCTCTCATTCTAGGCTTATACGATGACACATCAACATTATATCCCATTGATCTCATGAGATATTCTTATGTGGTGGTGCTTAATTTTGGTTACAACAAATACGATTTTTCAGTCTATTAAAACTATTAAATTTTGAAATCATATGAAACTTATATTAATTTATATATTAAGTTTAATATGAAACAGTAATTCGGTGAACCTTTCATTTTTTTATTTTTTTTTCAATAGTTATGATCATCGCAAAACTAACTTTATTTCTTCTAAAGGTAAATGTTATACTTGCCTGTTTTTTTTTTAGTTTGGTTTTACAGGTAAATGTTTTGTTCTAACTCGATCTTTTGTTTTTGTGCTTTACCGACAGCTAAGAGTACAAAAAGTCAATAATCAACATCGGCTCAACAACATGTAGGAAAGTACTGTTATGTCGGTTAATATTTTTTTTTTGTTAATTAAAGGATCTATTATGTCGGTTAATATATTATCATAGATTTGTTCTTGTACTCACATTGATCTGGCCGGTGCAACATCTCATCAGCTCTTTCGATACTACATTAGTTTAACCATTTACTATAATCTTCGTACAAAGGTCGAATCTTTTATTCAATCAAGAAGCAAATGCGATGGTTCTACCAAATCACCACGCCACAAATACAATGTGTATATATATGTGTTCCAACTACTGTTAAAAAAAATTAACCGATATATCATAAATTTGTTGAAACTTGAAAGTAATAGATTTAAAAAATATATATATGACCAAGTGATGCAATATCATATATTTGTTAAAAGTATATTAAAAAGAGCAATTGATGACAAAAAAAAAAAAAAAAAAAAGAGCAATTTTTTCGAATATTTTCACGTTCGGAAGACAATAGATTTTAGATATGTATAGCCAAATTTGTGTGGATCACAATCAAGAAGAGTCCATAACCACACAAAATATATAAAGCGAAACAAATGAAACAAAAAATGAGATCTAACTCAGTATTGATCAGTTAGCACTTAGAAGGATATGAAACCTTCGCTAACGAGCAACCCTAAGAAGAGAACAAAGAGACCAACACCAAGTGATTGAGACGATGAAACAAACGTCTGTGAATAAGCTCCAAGAGTCAATGTTGCTCCAACGAGTCCTATCACAAGAGATTGCATGTTCTTTCTACTAATCACTTGACTCTTCTTGCTTATTATCTTCTCCACTTCATCTCTCTTCCCCACTTCTTCTTTTTCTGTCTTTCTTCTCTGTCTCACCATTTTTTTCGATTGTGTGAAATGATTTTGTGGTTTTATTGTAAGTGATTTGGTGATTTATAGTATCTCTTTAGGGTGGAGACAGTGTGGTTTGTTGAAGTTGAGTTTGTGGTCGTCTTTTAGTCGACATAAAGTCAACTAATGCGACACCAAGTTGATTTGTGATTCAATTTGGTAACGTTCTATTTATATAAAGACATGTTACTATCGATGTTCGATGGTCGTTGTTGTTATTTATAAAAGTCGTATTAAGATTTGCCACGTTTTTTAGGATAAGATAACATTCTAACTGTTTTGAGTTTGGGCTTAGTACTGCGTAAATTAGTACTAAAGTTTCAGCTTATCATTGGGTTTGTGATTGTGCTTAGAATGGGCTTTTTATTCAGGTTAAGGGTTGGTAAGTAAGGAGAGAAGAGGGCAACAAGAAGAGTGGGGAACTAGAAAAAATTCAATTTTGTTTTTAAGGAGATGTTCTAATTTAAAGGGACAAATGTTTTATAATCTTTTTTTTTTCCTTTTCAAATATGATTTCAAGCCAATTTTTAGTTTTCATTTTTCTTCAACTCTTTAATGATAAATTTATATCAATGCGGTATAAAATTCATCATTTCAAGAGCCGGCCCAAATACCAAGCCCATGAAGTATATGCTTGCGGCCCTTCCTTTTATATAGCATTTTCGGCCCTATTTTTTCAAAAAGTCTCTTTAGTGTATTGGTATAAACCTTTCTTCGAGGGTTAGAGTTCACAAGTTTGACGCTTATATGCAGCCATTATTTTTAATTTGCTTGTAGCCTTGCATAGCATAGAGACGGCTTTCAATAATTACCAATATCATCAAAACAATACCATTAACGTTTATCAAAAGCGTTATAGTCAGTTTTTATACAATTTTTTATCGATATTTTATGCAGTTTAAAAATATTTCTTTATCTTATAATGTTTTTGTTAAGATAAATATACATTTTGTGTCATCAATTATACCCAATGAATTGGTTAAAACTGTATTTTAGTATGATCTTGAAAACCTAAATTGTATGCCTTATTTTAGTTTCAAATTTATTTTCAAACTAGGTCTAGTGTTTTGAGGTTTCCACGATCACGTGGCTTAACATTTGAGTATAAGATTCGATTTTCGAGTTCTCAATTAAGTATAACACAATTCAAACCAAGCTAACTGCGCAAATTTTTTAATTCTTTCATATATATAGTTGTTTACTAATTAAAATGAGAAAATTAATCACGTCGGAATTATCAGTAATTTAGTATATATGTACGACAAATCAAGCTTTACGGCTAAGTCTTGACCTTTTATATCCTCTCTCGAATGTAATTTAGTATATCTTAAAACTTGGATCGCCTAACTTTTTTTTCTTTGAACATTTGGATCGCCTAACCTAACAATACATAATTTACATTATCTTCTTAGTTACAAAACAACACATACCAATGAACTCTCAACGCGTGTCTTGTTCCCTTTCACAAACCCATGTTTCGTCCAAGGAAGCATTGGTCAAACTCCAAACTCCAAATCCCACTTTAAGTAATCAACTTAATTAGTTTCTTTTCAACAATTAAGATGATAATTAAGATTAATAGAGTTTTAGAATATGCTTTTTAACTTCACCATTGATCTTCAAGAACGTGTCCATTGAGGAATCGAGGTACGTGGGACGTGTCCATGATGAAGGTTGGCATTGCCAATACGATTCAAACTCTTGCCGTTTCAAAGAACAGACCGACACGTGTGTTCTTTGGGCTCACCATAAAACTAAGATATTTATAGAAGGTATTAAAAAAATATTCCTGAAAAGGAAAGGACTGTTTAATCAAAAAAGAAAGGATTAGCTTTTATAGAATGATTGATTTGATTTTCATTAGTAGCCAAAGATTACAAAATATCTAAATGCTTTTTATTAATCTTGGTCACATGATTTAAGATGGGTACTTGTAGTGGTATATATCCTCATAAACTCAGTCTTACAAGTCACATGATTAATACACTAATACACATTTCAATGAATTCATGATTGTTATTTTTGATACTTTTTCACCAAAAGTTATATTCTTTTCTTTTTAATAAAGGATTTATTCCTTTTTTTTTTCATAGTTCATATATATTTGTGTTATGATCTCTAACAAGTGTCGACATTAGTTTCAAAACAAAACTATTTGGTATTGGAAGAGTAGCAAAGCTAACCAATATTTTTCAAACATTATGTTAGAATCAGGCCTGGTTAGAATAGAAGATTATATAGCTATCAGTGTTGATAGATAGAAATTCTTTAAGGAAAAGAAAGTGCCAAAAACACAAAACCAACGAAGCCTATTTATAAGAATCAAGACTAAGTCCTTTTTTAGTTAAAATTGACCAAGTCTTTTTCCTACGAGAAATGACCAAAAATCAGAAACAAAACCGAATTAGGATTCTACTTGTGTTGATAAATATAACAAAACTCATTAGCCATTCCACCCAGCGCCGGCTTAAGGAATTTAGGAGTCCTTGGGCAAAAAAATATATTTTTATGTTCAAAAAAACAAAAAAAAATTATAACCCTATATATTATAAATATATAAATTATAATTTTGAAAATATATAAACATATTACAAAATTATAAACTTTTTTTGGCAATGTGTAAATTATAGGTCTTTTTTTTGTTATATTAGCTTGTATAAATTTTTTTTTTTGTTACATCAGTATATAATAAAATCAAATTATTGAGCCATTTTTGCTAAAAACACAAGTTTATGGGCCCTTTTCTAATATTATAACAGTTTTATGGGCCCTTTTTTGTAATATGAAAATTTTAATTTTTTTTTTGCATATATATAACTAATAAATTTTTTTTTAAGTTTTGTAAAAAAAAAAACTGTAGGCCCCTTTCTATGGTGGGACCCCTGGGATGTGCACTGCTGGCCCTCCCTGTTGAGCCGGCACTGATTCCACCTTAGCATTTCGAAGATACATCTTTTATTCGATAGATATAGATAATATCTTCATCCCATTTATAAACGAATAAGTGCTTGATGATATTGATGAAAACATTTTGGCGTGATTGCAGACAAATTCAACACGAGAATAATGAGAATCCCAAAAAGATTTTGCTGGTTGGCAGCACATAACAGACTAGCTACACTCGATAAAATGCAATGACATGCAAGCACAAATTGTGTGTTCTACGGTGAAAAAAATTAAAGAAAAGATCATTTGTTCTTTACCACAAGTTGTGATTGCCGACAAATTTAACACGAGAATAATGAGAATTCTAAGCTTTGGTGTTTTCACCTCCAAACTACAAATGTTATTTCCTTAAGCTTGATTTGCCACTTATGAATATGGATGATACACATAATTCATGTCTAGATTAGTATGCAGCATCTTCTATAAAAGTTTGAAAACATATATGTCAATTACATTAAGTATCATCCGTTTTATGATTATGCATTCCAACTAAAGAACTGTACAAATGACTAAACCAAACAAATAAGGCATGATGACATGCATCAAAACGCGGAAAGTACAACTAACATTATATTTGTTAAATTTGTCATGATTGAAATGCTATCTATATCATAAGATAGCATTCATAGAAATGCTATCTATATCATAAAATAGCATTTATCGCGTGCTACAAATATCAATTTTCCCTGTAGTGAAGTTAACACTAGTTGTACTTGTTAATCGAAAAGAACATTAAAATTTGATAAGTATTGAAAAGAAAATTTCAGTCTGAATGATTGATACAAGTTTCACCCAAAAATAAAATTGTTTTGGGCAAACGAGATCGACTATAATGAAATAGTTATCTCTAGTTCATAATTAAGTACATGTCCAATAGATCTTACCCTATTTTGATGTACAATTACAAACATATTTCTCTAGTCGACTGTGTAGACATATAGAACGAGTCATATATTTTGTTATAGCTAAGCTAACCAAGATTTTCAAATGTGACTAAGATGAAGCAAATATATTTCTATCGTGAATCTGTCCAAGTAACGTGATTTGCCTACGAAGGCGTCATGGATTCGTTTACGATTTGCATCAGCTATGGTCTTACTAAGATTTATCTTATATGTCACGATCAAGAAAATATATAATGATAAGTAACTAGCTACCTTTTTTAAGTCTATATCCATCTAGCCTCTTCTTATATTCTGTACTATAAAAATTTATTCTTCTCTTTTTCTTGCCAACTTGTCAAACATATATATCTTTTCTCAATTTGAGTCTAAATTAACATTGCAATAAACGATCCATAAACCAAACAAAATGATGAGAAAACTAAGCTATAGGAAAAAGAATATAGTGCACATGTTTGTAACCTCGTATGAACAAAACACGTGATTCGATCATCAAAAAAAGAACACATAGCTTCACATATAATAAGGCAAAGGTTGTTCACAAATGTCTTCAAAGTCTTTAACAGAATTTCATCATCACCATCCTCATCATTCATCATCATCATTACCCCATACCTTCACATGAAAATCGTTTTTTTTTACCCAATTTTTCTTCAATAAAACTTTATAATATATAGTTTTAGATATTAAAAATATTATAATTTCTTATAACGGTTAGACATTGGAATAAGACAAATGGAACACTTGCTTTAATTTTATTATTAAAAAAAAAAAACAATATACTTTCCAAGGTTCATGCATGCATACTTTAATTTCTTTCTCACGAGATGGATAACATTTGTTATATCCTAACCATGTGTGAACTCTTTTTTTTTTCTTTCTTTCTTTCTCTTATAGTTATCCTAAAGATACAACACCAATAATAGTGACCCGTAACGTAAGAATAGTAAATGTTAAAAAAAAAAAGTCTTTCTTCTCGTAACTTTACATACTTGCTAGTACCAAAATATTCAATAATCATCATAGTTTACTAAAAAAAGAAAAAACTCTAAGCTAGTTTGATAATGAAGGTTTTTAAAAGAATGGACAAAAACATCACGATTTTAATGGTGATGATAAGATTGTTCTTATCACATTAGCTTAAGAAAAAATAGGGACAGGGAGTTAGAGGTGAAGTGTTCCTGGTCAAATTGAAACTTGGAAATTTTAAAGTTCTTGAAATAGAAAGGTTTATTTTATATTGAAAACGATATTTTGTTTTTGATAATTACACATCTCTTCTTCTTAAGTTGCCTAACAATCTACGCATCTTCTTCTTTTCTCTATCCTATTAAGAAAACTAAATATAGTATTTTTCCTGATTTTTAATTCTATTATATAAAAAAAAAAAAAAAAATTATAAGTAAGATATATATTTTTCTTTATAGTAGGTGAAATTCTTGAATTTTTAGATAGAAAAATAATTGTTCCAATAGAAAAAATTGACCAATTATTGGTCAATATTAAAAAAATTAATTATATATATTTTTGTGTTCTTATACTTTCTCAAATGAAAACTAGTATATAGAGAGGAGCTTCTTTGCTCAAACCCTTTCCTCTTCTCTTACAAAACCTCAACTTTGTCTTCTCTCTTTATCTCCAAACCAAAAAAAAAAAAGATCAAAACTTGTCTTGTTTCTTGGAAACCCTAGCTAGGAAAAAAATGGACTACGAAGCATCAAGAATCTGCGAAATGGTGGTAGAAGATGAAGAACAGATTGATCTACCACCAGGATTCAGATTTCACCCTACTGATGAAGAACTCATAACTCATTACCTTAAACCAAAGGTCTTCAACACTTTCTTCTCTTCTACTGCCATTGGTGAAGTTGATCTCAACAAGATCGAGCCTTGGGACTTACCCTGTAAGTTTATTCTTTCACTTTCTTGATCTCTTAAAGAACCTTTGAACTACATAGTTTCTAATTCATATGAATGGTTTTGGTGGAACAGGGAAGGCTAAGATGGGAGAGAAAGAATGGTATTTCTTCTGTGTAAGAGACCGGAAATACCCAACCGGTTTAAGGACTAACCGGGCAACAGAAGCCGGTTATTGGAAAGCCACAGGTAAAGACAAAGAGATCTTCAAAGCTAAATCACTTGTTGGTATGAAGAAAACTTTGGTTTTCTATAAAGGAAGAGCTCCTAAAGGAGTTAAAACCAATTGGGTTATGCATGAGTATCGTTTAGAAGGCAAATACTCTATACAAAACCTTCCCGACACAGCTAAGGTAATAACAAAAACTTTTGTGTATACTTCTGTTTTGTTTTTGTGGACTTAAGAAACTAAAAATCTTTGTTTGTGAATGTAGAACGAATGGGTGATATGTCGTGTATTCCAAAAACGAGCCGATGGTACAAAGGTTCCAATGTCGATGCTTGAAACTCGCGTTAACCGAATCGAACCAACCGGTTTACCTTTGTTGATGGACTGTTCTCAACAAGACTCTTTCCCTGGTTCGTCGTCAACTCACGTGACCTGCTTCTCCTCCGACCAAGAAACCGAAGACAAGAGACTTGTCGAAGGGTCTACTACAAAAGACGGTTTTGGTTCTCTGTTTTACTCCGATCCTCTGTTTCTACAAGACAATTATTCACTAATGAAGATGTTGCTTGACGGTCAAGAAACTCAGTTTCCCGGTGGTCATAACCCGTCCGGTTTGGTCGGACCGGAGGAATTGGATTGCGTTTGGAATCTCTGATCAGTTGTAGTCAGTCATGCGTTCGTGTGTGTGAATTGAAATATTCTTAGTTACATTTTTTTGTAAAAAAATGGAGAAAAAAAATGTTAGAAAGTCAAATTTATTTTATTTTACTATGTAGCTCTTAATATATTCAATAGAATTTTTAATTTAGTAATAGCGAATTTTAATACAAACAAATAATTTTTATTATTGAAACTCAAGAAGCTAAATATATATTATGACATTATTAAAAATAATAATTTTTTAAAAATTGAAAATAAGAGTAGTTAGAAGCCAAATTTGTTTACTGTTCTTGTGAATGACGAAATTATAAAATGACATGTGTTAGGCCACCAACCAAAGAGTTGATACTATGACTTTATGAGTATATTAACAAAGTTTTGATAGATATTTTATATTTTTATGTCAAACTTAATGTGTTTAGGTGATCATCTTGTTGTTTTCATATACTACCTAAATTTTTATTTCTCTATACTTCGTTTAGCAAAAAATTATAATCTTCCCAAATTGAAACATGAACATGTGTGATATAAAGAAGTAAAAAATTGTAAAATCTACTACAAAGTGTTTAAGTATTTCAATTCAATTAGTTCGGTATTATTAAATATTAATCAGGAAATCGAAATTCTAATAAGAGATTATTATAAACCGAACCGGACCGGTTAAAATTTAACGGAACCAAAGGAAAATAAAGAGTAAGGGTGTTTTCGTCATTTTAGACAGTGCAAACCCTTTCTTCAGACTTCTTCTCCTGTAACTCTTCTTCGTCTTCACTTCCCAAATCTCACCGGAGAAGAAGCTTCCGTCGACCGGTAAAAGTTATAACCTTTATTCTCAGTATATGTGCGTCGTTTTATATCTCATATATTATTCTTTCCACAAGTCATTTGAAATGATCAGATTTTGGTAGATACATCTTCAAATCTATGTATTTCGTGTGAATCTACAAGTTACGATTTGTGCTTTTGTTATCTGAATATTAAATCTTTCTTATAGATTTCACGACCATTCTCTGAATTTTCATGGAATCTGAACTGGGAATTTGTAAAAATTGGGTTTTTATTTAATGATTTTGGTTGATTTAGGTTAAGGGTTTTAGAAAGCTAAAGAAGATGTTGAAGTTTCTATCAAAAGTAAAAATTGAGTTCAACACATTGGATCCAAGACTTGCGTCTTGTGTTGAGTTCTTGGCTCAATGCAATGCAAGGAAAGCCAAAGAGTCGAATCCGAATTGTCAGGTTTTGGTGAAACGTAGAACAGATGAGCAGCCGCCACAGATCACTGTCACGTTTGTCAATGGTGTTGAGGAAGCTTTTGATGCAGCAGCAACCTCGGCTCAGTCAATTCGAAAGATGATTCTTGATAAAGGTCAGTATCTTGAGACAGAACAGATGTTTCGTGAAGCTGGAGAACAGTGGCCTGTGATTATCCCTGATGAAGAGATTCTCCAAGAGGCTCCTGGTGTTAAGGTCTGTCTCACTGTCTCATTCAAGCTGATAATGAATGGTCACATTTCAAGCATCTTCTCTGTGTACGAGTATTTGCAAGTTTATAACTGACCTTTGTATGTTGTTTTGTGTTGTGTTGCAGCCAAGAAAAGCAGAAGACAAGAAGTAATGCTGCATCATTGATAAATCTTGCTGTAATCTCGTTGAATTGACAAATCTGCAACTCTATATGTATCTCAAGCTTCGCGTTTTTGGTTTCGGGTTTGGACAAATAGATTTGTATTGTTTACTTGTTTATGTGAAACCAGAAATGGATGAACTTTGATCAGGAACTATGGCTAAGACATTACTGTGGAAGCTCTGAGAATAAAAACAATTATTATGGGCAAATATCAAATCAACATGCCAGTAACCGGTTTGTGTTTGTGTTTTATTGACAAAAGCCAGTTTTGAGTTTTGGCAACGATAGTATACATAACTTACACATTGAATCCACAAGCACATAACACCAAGACTTTCTTGCTTATATTGTATATTGTACAGACAAAAATCTCCATTGAGAAACGTATGGGAGTGTATTATGCTTCACATTTTACCTCTCTTCCTTTCTAGGAGCATTAGGATTGCCCATCATGTCCATCATCATTTTCTCAGGTGAGTCTTCCCAATTCGTAAACGTCTTCAAGTCGATCTGCAGATAAAACAACCATGTCAAATTCTCGAAACCTTTGTGCATTGCATAATATAGTAGATGTCATGCACTTTTTGTGTTTCTCTTTTTTTACCTTTCGACGTTGGTTGGTGAAAAGTTCTTCTCTTTTCTGGTATGTCTGTTGAATTTCCCTAGCCTTGTTTCCACCTAACCCCCATGCTTCAATATCTAATACCAAAGCCTCTACTGGTAAATAGCCCTGCAGAAATCATATTTAGCAAGAGATGTGTTATTGAGATCCAAGAGCACAAAATTTGACAAGCATAAACACTTGTGTACTCTTTTTGTTCCTTTACGGTGTTGTTATTTGTTTTCTCTGGAATCTAGATGCTTCAGAGTTACCTGGTTTGGGAAAAGAGAGCCTGACTGGTAAGTTTTATCAACTGCATGATGACGGACTGTGATCTTAGCAAAGTCTTCATCAATGAAAATTCTCTCGTTTCCAAGTGTTCCACCGAATCCTATTCCAACAGGCTTGGGGTGTGCGTCGTAAACTCCACCAGCGGGATGCAGATGGCTATATGCAAAGTTTTTCTCCTTCCCTGAAGATTAACACAATAGTATGAAAGACTGAACTAATGGAAAAGCAAGTGTGCAGAAGAATATATCGATTAGTGTGAAGTACCAGACGATGAGAATGCGTGGAAGACTGGACTTATGGAGAACAAGTTCCCTGAGCTTCCATAAAATGCATCTCTGTTTTCAAAACCTTGCTGCAAAATTGCACCAATGACCCATTTCCTCTCGCTAGAATTACCCTCATATTCGACTTTACAGCTTGCAGAAATTATCACTAGTATTGGAGCATGATACCCTTCAACATTGGACCACAATCGGTTCATGCCTTTCCCGTGATGGTATGAGCTGAAAGAGAGACAAACATAAGTTAGATACGCTGTAAACACAGGATGTTAAAGAAACAAACAGATGTACACATTAATGGCAATTTTAAATCAAATTCAAAACACATGAAAGATAAACAAGTTGCTCAGAAGTAAGGCAGTGAGATACCGGTATAGAAGATTTTCATTGGTTTCATTGCTATTGCAGGGAAAGCATGAGCTCAATATCTCCTCGCTTATTGTACTTTTGCTCGTCAAAGAAATTGCCCATGCCCTTCCACATGTAAGAAGGGTGTTTTCGCTTGTCTTAGACGCAGAATCATCTACAGCAGTGGACTTTGAAGGTCCAGATCCATCCTGCAATCCATAATTTAAAACTCCATATGTCATCACGGCTGTCTTATATAACTTCAATACCAATTTCTACGTAACCACACAAACAATAGTACTAAGAAAGACTCTTTAAGGAAACAGCTTCTTGGTAAATGCAGAGCAGCAAAGTAAAAGAGAGTACCTCTACATTTTGAAGTCTCGAATTACAAAAGTGAGTAAGGCACTCAGTGAGGCTCGGAACTGTTGTCAAGGCCCACGTAAGGAATTTACCGATAGGAAGTTCGAGTTCTAATACAGAAACATCAGTCTCCCAAACATTAAAACTGTTTCCAGATTCAGATTCAATGCAAGACACTACTGCTGATAGAATCAGATGACTTATATCCGGAAGAAACAATGACCCTTTCATTTCAGCGGCTTTATTAGTTCGACCATCCCACGACATTGTCCAACACAACCAAAGAAACATAAGCAACTCTGTAGTCGAAATCGACCCATTAATCTTACAATCAGATTCCTCAGATTCAAACTCCAGCTTTGGAGAAAAGCCTGCATTTTTAGCTATCACATAGTAAACTCTCAACAAAGTATTGAACGACATCGAAGCAGACATCCTTCCACAACATTTGACATAACCACTAGCAAACTCAACCCAACTCAATCCTTCTTTGTCAGGAAGGAAGAACAAATCCACTAAAGATGATCCTAAAAACTCCAACAATCTGGGAAATGAGTCTGGAACTGTTTGCCCTCCTTCAGAAGTAATCTTATCATAGCTCAACCCAAAACTTTCCTACAAGAAGAGAATCAAAATTGCTCAAAGATCCAATCTTTAGAACCCTAAGTTAAGACCATTCATGATTCAATAGCAAACCCAGATTTTACAGATATCGAATTATAATAATACCTTGAAAGATTGAAAAGGAACTGTATTGGTTTGAGAATCGACGAGCTTGGAGAAAGATCGTTGAAGCAGAGGAAGAGCTCCGGTGGAAGCGGCAAGGCTTTCGATTTCTCGTTTCTCAGATGATTCTTTGTTGTCCGTCGACGATGAAGCACCCATAGTGACAAAGAAGATGATCGGAGAAGATGCAAAAATCCGAAATTGGAAAGACCACAAAAAGATGAGATTTTTAGAAATTGGAGTCCATGATTGATCAATAAGGGAAAAAAGGGACGTTTTTGAACAGTTCCATAGAGATATTTCACAATTCGCCACGTATGTTGGAGTCAACTGTACGATTGATCCGGTTCCGGTTTATTTAAACCGAATTCTAAATTATAGAACTAAATTGAGAATACATTTTCACTTCCAGACCGGAGCGGCCTGTCCGACTGGTTAACCCACAACTCGGACATTTCTCTGTTAACCCATTACCCTGTGACCCGGTGAACTAGTAAACTAAAATCAGAAAAATCCAGAAATTTTTTGCCATTAATCTGTGACCCGGTGAACCGGCCAAGTTACATTTCACAAAAAATACTTGATTTTAGAAGTGAAGTATAAAGTTTTTATTATTTTTGAAATTATAATTTTCTATTCCTTATTAAATGGCACACCAACACAATTAAAATTATGCCGTGAATCAAAATTTGGTTTTAAATTTGTTATCACTTTATTATTATTGTTAATTTTTATATTTTAAAAAGTTTATATAATTATTTTTATTTATAGATTTATAAAACTGTATAATCTATATATACACATTTATAAATTAAGGCGTTGAAGAAAACACATTTATAAATTTTAATGAATTGATCCGTGGTCGAACCCGGTTAACCGGTTTGCAATCCGTGTTGGTTTAAAAACATTGATTGAGATATAGGTCGGTCTAGATAATTGAAATATACCCAATAGGTCGGTCTAGATAATTGAAATATACCCTCAATAGGTCGGTTAAGATAATTGCTCCCCAAGATATCTATAATATATTTACCATAGGTTAAAGCTCAAAATCGATTAAACCTAAAAATAAGCCATCCGCCGCTTGGTTCCGTGGAGCAAAAGTTGAGAAATTTTAGTGATGACAAGTAATAACAGTGGTCGAGAAGAAAGAGGGAATAGCATGAACGATGTGAACGAGTTTTGGGCTCGAGTTAGGGAAGCTGGAGGGTTCGACATCGAACACTTGATAGACACGAAACCAGAGTCTTGTTTGGTCGGCTTTCGAGAGTTTGATAAAAAATATGATTGCAACCCCCATATTGTCCTTTTCGCTAAGATGGGGATACATAAGTACAACATGATACAAGGGACGAACTTGCAGCTCAGTAGCGTAGAGAAATACAATTATCGACCTAGCAGAGTATATACATCATACTATATAACCTTGGTTGCAAAGCATCCAGATGCATCATGGGACTCTCGTCTGACTTTTCAGACTAGGGTCGTTGACGAAGGCTTTGACATCAAGAAACTGTATTGTGGTATTGCTGCTCCTAAACCCGCAACACAAGGTATGTAAACTAGATCATCTTAATTAGTTATGTACTAGCTCATCTTTATGATTTGTGTATTGTGACTACTAGGTAATCTCCTGCAAGGACAAAATTTGGAACCTGAAGCGGTAGATGAGTTTTACAAAGGTAGATTGCCCGAGTGGCCGGTGTCGGAGAAAGTTTTCAATGAGAAGAAACGATTTTACTTGGTAAAGAAAGCAGAGCTGCGGGAACATGACTGGATTCGTCTATACATGGAACTCGCATTCCTCCTATCGCGTTCGAGGCGGCCTAAGAATCCCAAGTTGTCGAAACTGGTGATTGTGATGGTAGCAGTAGAGACCAAGGAGGATAATGTGGAGCCTTCGAGTGAGAGACTCAAGGCTAATAATGCAAATTTCTACATTAAGTACAAATACCATTCAAGTAAGGCTTGGCCTCCTAAGGTTCGTTCAGCTGACCGCATTGCAATAGTAAGAAGAATCTTTGATAAGAATACAGGACACCTCACTCTCCAGTTTGATTGTCAGTATGCAAACACGGTTCTGCAAAAGGGCTCAGGCACTAGGGATCCATAGGTGTGGCCTTTTGGCTCCAGTCTTGTCCTCTTCTATTTAATCGAGTCCTTTAACATGTAATGGTTATAATGGTTTATTTCGGTTTAAGTTAAGGAAAAATTTTGATAATATTTTTGGGTAATTTTCGAAACTTCAATTTTACTCACATGGATCATTGGATAATATGAGAATGGAGATAAGGCCCAGTGGGCCGACTGGAAATATCTGGATCCGTTCAATTATTCTTATCCAAATACCAGATTACCTAAACTCAAATCCTATGATCCAAACCGATCTAAAACACCCCAAAATTCTTTATTTAATCCGGTTCCGCTTTGTTTAAACCAACCTACCCACCCTTCTTCATCTAGCCTTGCTGAACCGGACTAGGTTTTCTCAAGCCACTCCTCTTTCAACATCGGCTTTTTCACCGGATCTCTCTCGCCGGATCTCTCCCCGGAATAGGTTTGTTTAAATTCCTTCTCAAGCTCCCTCTCTGTATCTCTCTCTCTCCGTCTCTTTAAGTCTTTGTATATTACAAATGATAAAGGAAATAGTCATCGCAGAACAGAGTTTTGATTCATCCGTCTCTGAGTATTGTTTCGATTCTATGAACTTTGCAATAAGAAGCTGGATTGGTTCTTGGGTTTACTCCAAAAATGGTTACTTTGAAGTACAAAGCTGTAGATATTATTGAATTGAGGATTGATAGGTTTAAGAAACTTGTAGTGAAGCTACTATGATTCCTGTAATGGTTGATTTTGTTTATGTGTAGGATTAGGATATACAACTTCTTTAGTGAAACAATGACAACTATTCATGGCACTGATGTGAGTATCTTCCCCCTTCTAAACTCATGTGTTTACTTGAAATGCATTTCTGTGGCTTTGATTTTGGTTCTCTTATGTTTGTATCAACTAAAGAATCTTGTGTGGAGCGATGAGCAAACCCGTTTCTATCTCCAACTAAGAGTCGATGAGAAGCTTAAAGGAAATATTAAAAAACAGAATGTGAGTGAAGCTGGGAGACAATCAATCATAGATAAGTTTTATGAGGTGTATGGGGAAAGACATCCTTGGAAAAAGTTTGGGATCAAGTTTACTACTTGCAAGAAGCAGTACGAGTCTGTCAGGAAGCTTATTGACGATAGAACGGGACTTGGTTATCATTCAAATGGGAGTATAAACATGTCTGAGGACTGGTGGAATGAGCGGTGTAAGGTAGGATTCTTTTTGTGGGTTTTCAAAAACTTGTCTTTAATTAAGAACTTCTTCTATGGTTTTCTGAGTTTTGTTTTGTTTGTTCTTGTTTTGCTTTTAGGAATGGTCTGGAGCAAGGAAATTGAAAGATAAACCAGTGCCAAATGTGGATTTGATGGAGAAAGTCTTTGGTACAGTTGATATCAGTGGAGCTGAGGGTTTGATAGCTCAACAAGGTGAAGAGCATTTAGACTCAATGCATTTGTATCAAGATGATGATGTTGATGGTGATCCTGATGATGACGATGTTGAATCAAGGCAAATCTCTCCTACTGAGAGCAATATTGGTAATGGACCTACATCTTCAAGTAAATCAAGGGCTGGTAGAAAAAGATCAAGGTCTGTACAATCAGGAGAAGTTGTAGTAGCAGAAGCTTTTAGGGATAGTGCTCGGTCACGGGATAAGATTCTTTCCTACAAAAACAAACTAATAGAGAACCACCCTGAGTTTAGTTGTAGTCAGCTTCGAGCTATGCAGGCTTTGCACTCATTGCCTGCTATAAGAATGTGGTCTCCTTTATATAAAGCATCAATTCAACATCTCAAGCAAGATCTTGCCAATCGTGAGACGTTTTTATGTTATGAAGATGATGAGAACAAAATTCTCTACTTGGAGTTTGAAACTGGTGAAAGCAGAGATGCATGACTTGACAAGTGTTGCGTCTTTCAATGTCTATGAGTGGTACACTCTTCTGTACACTGGCTTCAAAAAATCGAATAGTAAATCACAACGATGGTAATTTCTACTATGCGAGATAGAACACTAGTAAATATTCATAATCTTAGCATTAGTTTAAAATATGATAGAATCAATATTTGAATTGTTCCAAGTCTTTGTTGCATAATGGATTTGTTATATATAAGAAAACATCTCGTTTGACAACAAAAACAAATATTTAAAGAAACATGAAAGCTGTCATAAGAGGTTTCTGGATTTATAGAAAACTCTCTAATTTGTTTATGTCACTTTTCTGTTACAAAGTTTCTTCAAAATTTGATTGCAGAAAAGAAATTTCATACGGACCAACAAAGATGGTTCTGTTTCAAATTAGCACCACAACGATGGTTCGTCACCAGCATTATATTATTGGGAGCCCTTGAGTTTGGAATTTTATACCGACCCTGATCAAACTTTTTGTAAAAAAAACAATTCTCATTTTTATATCGTCTTTTCATTGAAAAAACTATATAATATATTGTAACATATAATGAAACCGACCCAAATTTACAAAACCGAACTGAAAAATTCGATATCATACTTCCATTTCTCGAACTTTTTTTTCTTTTTAATAATCAAAGAGATTGTGGGCCAAAGCCCATACATCCCTCAGCTCCGAAACTAAAACATGTTTTATGGTTTCGTCCCAAGCGCTACTCGAACCTCTAAGCTTCTGTCAGAGATCTTTACCATTTCTCGATTTTTAGAAATTCGATCTAACGAAACCGAGCAAATCAAATGTTTTATATATCTTATGTATATATTCAAAAACAAAAATGGATTAACAAAACCCACTACACTGTTATACTGTTTGTTTGTTTGTTAAAGACTTTACTATATGTTCCGGTCAATACATTGATCTCACACGATGTATATAGATAGGGATCAATGGACTATTGTTGAATACTGGATGTTCATGTTTTTGGATATATTAACACTTTATTCGTTTAACCAGTCCAAATCTGATGCACTAGTACGAGTTTTCTTAATAAAGAATTAGAGTTGAATCAAAGTATAACTCCTAGTCTCCTAGAAAAAGGAATATTCTATAGTTACATTCATTAATAAATGATTACACAAATCAATAAGAATCAAATTGACAGAAACATACAAAAGGAATAAAAACAAACCCTATGCAATCGTCAACGCGCGATGAGCCAGCTACTGAGTCATGACCAATTACAAAACGCGTTTTATCAGTTTTGATTTATCTAATCACCTCAACACTGTAGCCGATTTCGATGACTTTAATGTCACACTTTGACATCTCAACATCTCTATAAGTTGCTCACGTTCTCGTATCACTTCCCATGCACCTTCTAAACACAAACGATCTTATCTACTACTATCTCAAAACATACTTCAAATCTTGTATTAAAAAGGAATAAGAAATGGGTTCGGTACGATCATTTTGTACGTTCTTAGTGATCTTCCTTAGTTGTCTTGTCGCGGTTCATGGCCAAGGTACGAGGATCGGGTTCTACTCGACCACGTGCCCAAATGTCGAGACGATTGTTCGGAACACCGTGACATCTCACTTTGGTTCAGATCCAAGAATTGCACCAGGGTTATTGAGAATGCATTTCCATGATTGTTTCGTCCAAGGTTGTGATGGTTCGGTGCTTTTGTCCGGACCTAACTCTGAAAGAACCGCTGGTGCAAACACTAACCTCCGTGGTTTTGAGGTCATTGACGATGCCAAGACGCAGCTTGAGGCGGCATGTCCTGGTGTTGTCTCTTGTGCTGATATCTTAACGTTAGCGGCTCGTGACTCCGTTACTCTCGTAAGTAAATAAACTAATACAAATATCATAACAAAACTTTTCTATATAGTCCAAAAAAAAGAAAGTTTTTTAAAATAAAATTTTCTATGCAACGACACTAAGTACTTTTTATGGTTACCTCTATATTGTAATTTGTATTGGTAAATATGTAAACGTGTGTGTGGCTTTGCATGGGTGCATGTAGACGCAAGGACAAAGCTGGCAAGTACCAACAGGACGTAGAGATGGACGAGTTTCCTTGGCATCGAACGCTAACAATCTTCCTTCTCCAAGTGACTCCGTAGCCAATCAACAAAGGAAATTTTCCGCTTTTCGCCTCACTACTCGCGATCTAGTCGCTCTTGTTGGTAAGTAACTTTTCAAAATCTAAAATTATAGGAAACCGATTGGTAACGACAGTTACTAGTGACTGTAGAGATTTTGACTGTAAAAATTTTAACAGTTAAAACTTTTGTTCAATCCATGTATCTCTTATTCGATTTGTTTATATATTTTGTTTTCGGTTTTAAGAAAATAGTTACTATAAGCTACAAATGATAAAATATGTCTCCCTTTAACATGGGTTACGTTTGGCTGTATATATATTTATAAATTTTTCAATTATATAGTTGTAATTAAACTGAATATGGATATATGTGATTTTTCTAGGAGGACACACGATAGGAACAGCTGCATGTGGGTTCTTCACGAACAGAATATTCAACACGACCGGGAACACAGCAGATCCAACCATGGACCAAACATTCGTACCAACACTTCAAAGACTTTGTCCCCAAAGCGGAGACGGATCAGCACGTGTGGATCTTGACAATGGAAGTGGAAACACATTTGACGTATCCTTCTATAACAATCTTAGCCGTGGTAGAGGGATTCTTCAATCCGATAACGTTCTTTGGACTAACCCGACCACAAGATCCATAGTGCAAGAGTTCATGGCTTCGAGCAGTAACTTCAATGTTCAGTTCGCGAGGTCAATGGTTAAGATGAGTAATATTGGTGTCAAGACAGGGAGAAATGGAGAAATCCGTAGGGTTTGCTCTGCTGTTAATTAATCGGTGATTACTGGTGATTAAGTTATTATGTCTTAACTTATTCAAATGTTTGATGGAAAACCCAAAAGTGGGTTACTCATTTGTATTCCATTTCTTTCTATTTGATTTGGTGAAATGAATAAAGTTTAATTTTGTTACAAGAAAGATCAAATGTAGTTGGTGTTTAATTTATCGCCAATCTTCCCTAGGAGTAATAATAATCACATTAATCCAATTGATTCAACAAATGTTCATTATGATTCTAAATGTTCATTATGATTCTAATTCATGCAAGAAACATTATGATATTACTCGAAATTGTAAATCATAACAACAAACAAATAGATAGAAAAAGAAACAGAGAAGCAAACGGTTACATGGTGACACAATAGCACTTCAAGGTTTTATTCTGAACCAGTACAAAACTCAAAGACTCTGTAGTAATAGTATAGAGATTCAAACAAACATAACACCAACGTCGGGAGAAATTATGTAGGAAAGATATGTGACTTAGCTCTTTATTTAGTAGATATTTGAAGCTAAGCAAACACACTTTCTCATTACACTCTCTAGCAGATAGAGGTTTTTAGTCATCGTCTTCATCACGACGTCTCTGGTGGTGATGCTTGTGACGGTGCTGCTTCTTCTCCTCATCATCATCAGAGTCATTGCCACCCTGCAAATTGTGTGCAAAGATGATTAGAGTTAAGCAAATACTGCATCCTTCGTAATGTTCTAACATACAATGGTACTGCTGTGAGCAACCATAAGAAAGGATAAGAGATGTTCTGTATTTAAGACCTTCACATATCCAACATGCTTTCCAAATTCAATACCAACAAAAGTCAAATGGAGTCCTAAAACTAGCTTTTGTATCAAGCAAATCAATTTCAGAATGTGAAACAGAGAGATGATTGTTGACATGTATCCAAAAACAGAGGCTATAAACAGGGTTCTTTATAATGAGTGTTCATAGATGGCTAGATGCCTAGATCATGAATGGAACCACCTCTAGAGATGTAAACTTTACTTTCATATGGAGTCATGGAGATCACTCTACTACACTATGATCAACAAAGGAGTAAACTTGAGCAAACCATAACTTATTTCCACACAATCTAGAGTCACACTATGCACAATTCCACTAAACGAGATGATAATTGATTCAACTTACATATTTCTTGCGACCATAGCTCCCTTCCTCATCATCACCAGAACCAGAACGGTTCCTGCGCTGTTCATTATCATCATCATCATCATTGCGACGACCATAGCTAGGCTTCCTGTAACTCCCCTCTTCTTGTTCCTCAGACCTTCCATAGCTAGGCTTCCTGTAACTCCCTTCCTCCTGATCCTCTGATCTTCCATAGCTAGGCTTAATGTAACTCTCCACCTGTTCCTCAGACCCTCCATAACTTGGTTTCCTGTAACTCCCTTCCTCCTGATCCTCAGATCTTCCATAGCTAGGCTTCCTGTAACTCCCTTCCTCTTGATCCTCAGATCTTCCATAGCTAGGCTTCCTGTAACCTTCCTCTTGATCCTCAGATCTTCCATAACTAGGCTTTATGTAACTTTCAACCTGTTCCTCAGATCTTCCATAGCTAGGCTTCCTGTAACTTCCTTCCTCTTGTTCCTCGGACCTTCCATAGCTAGGTTTCCTGTAACCTTCCTCTTGTTCCTCGGACCTTCCATAGCTAGGCTTTTTGTAACCTTCCTCTTGCTCCTCAGACCTACCATAGCTAGGCTTACGCTCATACTCAGACTCCGATCTGCCACCATATCCAGATCCAAGCCCCGATTCAGGTCTCCTACCATACTCAACCTCAGTTCTTCCACCACCAGATCCATACTCCGATTCAGTCTCCGTCCTACCACCATAACCAGATCCATAACTCTGCTCAGGTCTCCGACCATACTCCGTCTCAGTTTCACCACCATATCCAGATTCAGGCCTCCTACCATACTCACTCTCCGTCTGACCACCATAACCAGATCCAGATCCATAACCAGGATTCGGCCTCTCACCTTGAACATGACCGCCACCACCTGAATCGGGTCGAAATGCGGGTCGTGGCTTGGGTCGAGAATAGCTACTGTACTCTGTATTGAGAGCTTCGTCTCCGTAAGCAGAAGGCTCATGGATCTGAGTGAATTCAGGTCTCTCGTATTCGAAATCGTCATCGACACCAGACGAGAGAGGGTAACAAGTCTCATCAGAAGGTGGGATCGGACGGCCGTAAATCACCGTGATGTCGTAACCGCCACTGTACGGCGTTGGATCAAACTCGTCGAAATCGTCGACGTCGTTCTCATCTCTGGTATAGTACGGCATCGTTTCAGAAGCTTCTCTCTGTGTTTTCTCTTTTTTTCCTTGGATCTGATAAAAAAATGATGAAATGAGAATTTATATATATACGTGGAGGAAGATGAAAGGTTCGCAAAACGCTGCGTTTTAAAATTAATAATTGTGGATTCTCTTTTTAGTTATTAACGTGGGTCACAGTTTCATGCTGTTTACATGGAGACCACTACGATTCGGGTAAGCTATGCCACGTGTCTCTGTCTTAATTGGTAGAAAAGCAATTTGATTGTACCGGTTGCCGACTAATTGAACCGGGAACTTCGAACTAAACCAGTTAGGAGTATGGTTTTTCTTTTAACACTGAATCACTAAACTTTATTAAGAAAAGAAGTTAATTAAGCCTTACAAAGCAAGAAAAGAATCAATAAAACACCACTCAAAGTCACACTCATTGCTCTTGGACAATCCTCTCTTGCAACCACGCCGGCCCACCTAAGGCGAGGTACGATGTAAGTCGACCATCCTTAGTTACACTCTTCGCAATGTCTCTGGCCACCAAATTTGCCGTAACAGCAGACAGCTTAAAGGAGATCTCACCCATAGTACGACGCACGTCAAATATTTTGTCCACAAGTGAATGATATTTGGGCCATGCTCTCGGCGACTCAAGAACTGCAACTCCTGCCGAGCAATCTGTCCATATTTCACAGGAAAGAACATGAAGATCCTTTAGACTTTGTAAACACCATAAAATGCAACTAAGCTCCGCTGTAATCCTGTTGGAACGGGGAAGAAAGGCGTCTCGAGCATGAAACAAAACATCACCAAAATGATTTCGAATTATCCAAGCTCCTCCACAGAAGGCATGATCATTCACCCATGAGCAATGAACGTTACACTTTAATATCCCAGATGCAGGTTTAAGCCATCTATGTGACATCGGAAGACTACGGGAAATTCCAGACCCAAGGTCAGCACGGATAAGATGTTGTTGTAAGAACCATTCCTCAGACGGAGTATGGTTTATAAAGAAATTAACGGACTATATTACAAATACGGATTTAATTTAATTTATGAATCAAAATTTTAATTGAATTTAGTGTGTCTTGATTTTGTTGGTTTATGGTTTGGCAAAGAAAAAAAAATTGTCCTAGGTTTTTTTTTTTTTTCAATGTTGATTTTAAATTTAGGGCTTGTTTTGTAGATTTTAATTTCCATTACAGGTTTTTAACTTCAAAGGCTAACTATTTTCTTTAACCTTTACTTTTTTTTTAAAACTCTTTAGAGCTATTTTATAACTCATAAAAAAACAAATCTCTTACAATAAATAAATAAATAATTAATGTCCATCTTATTATATAAACTTTGGTTTTCAAAGTCAGCCATTAACAAGATCGTGACACGTGTCAATTATAAACGATAAGATGTTGACACGTGGCATAACTAATTTTGTTAATATTTGGATAAAATAGAAATATTATTAACCCTATCGAAGAAGGAAATATATAAAATAAATATTATAAAGAATTATATAGTAAAAATTATTAATAAAATTAAACAAATAATCTAATTTCAGTTATGTCAATTTGGTTTATTAATAAGATAGGAATTTATAATTTATAATTAACAAGAATATATGGCGGTTTTTGTTTACAGAAGAGGATTAAGGTTTAAACTTTAATTTTACAATTAAATTAGGTTATTTGTTGGTTTGGGTATACAAATGATAAATAAGAATTATGTTTTATCTTTATAAATTAAAATTATGGTTTAAGTTTAACAATTAAACGAGATTATATGTCAAAACTTGGTTTTTAAATTTATAAACTCACGTGATCATGATAAGTGTCAAGTAAAAACATAAGATGTCGCAATATGTTATATCTAATTTTGTTAATATTAAGATACAAATAGAATTTTTAAATAACATTAAAAATATATATATAAAAAATTAAAGAGAATTTTTGAGAAATACCCCTTTTGGTGTACCCTTTTTCAAAAATACCTCCTTTATCTATTCATGTTCAAAAATATCCATGTTTAAATATGAAAAATTATAAAGTTTTATATGGTTTCTAGGGTACTTCTATATAATAACTACTACTTGGAAATTTGATACAAATATTTTATAATGTTTTAAAAGGTTTTAAATCGTTTTTACAAGTTTTATAAGGTTTTTAAGTGGTTTTTAAAAGGGTTTATAAGGTTTTTAAAAGGTATTTATAAGTTATTTTACGCTATTTATGAAAGATATATAAAAATTTAAACATATATAAAGGTAATTTGTGTGTATATTTATAAGTTTTCACACATATTTGGATAAATTTCAACATTTAAAGTGGTTTTTTTATAAAGTTTGAAATAGGGGTATTTTTAAAAAGTGGTATGGAAAAAGGGTATTTTTGATAATTAAAAAGTAAAAAAATTGATATTTATAAAACAAAAATGTGTAAGCTTATATATTTAGACACAAATTATCTTTCTATGTGTGTAAATTTAAATACCATATAAATACCTTTTAAAAACGTTTTAAAATTATTTTAAAAACATAAAAAAAAACTTTTTAAACCTTATAAAAACCTTATAAAAGTCTTATAAATGCCGTTTAGAACCTTTTTAAAACTTTAAAAATATTTGTATTGAGTCTCCCAATAGTAATGATGATCTAGATGTACCTTATAAACTATATAAAAGTTTACAATTTTTCATATTTGAAAAGGGATATTTTTAAAATAGATAGAAAATTGGTGTATTTTTAAAAAGGGGTACACCAAAAGGGGAAAACGGGAAAAATCAACCCAAACTATTCCCCGAAGGTATTTTCATACCCAAACTCGCGTACTCGGAATTTTACAACCCAAACCAGCTTTTAATTCAAATAACCAACTTGAACTATATCAAATTTTGTCAATTTCAACCTCGACGTTAACAATATCCTTGCTCATCTTGAAGATTTGGACAATCAAGCTTAAGCTTAAGCTTAAGTTCTCTTGGTTTTTACAGAAGCTTAAGCTTGATTGTCCAAATCTTCAAGATGGACAGGGATACAGTTAACGTCGAGGTTGAAATCGACAAAATTTGATGTGGTTCAGGTTGGTTATTTGAATTGAAAGCTGGTTTGAGTTGTAAAATTCAGAGTACGTGAGTTTGGGTATGAAAATACCTTCGGGAAATAGTTTGGATTGATTTTCCCCGTTTTCCCTACGCCAAAAGGGGTATTTTTCAAAAATTCTCTTTCAACTATTAACCTAATTTTTGGTTTTGCCAGTTTTAGGTTATACAATTATAAGGGTTACATGTTGAGTTTATAAATCTGCATTATAGTTTAGAATTTATAATTAAACGAGATTATTTATCGGTTTGGGTTTATTAAAGAGGAGTGATTTAGGTTTTACAATTAAACAATGTTATGTATCTGTTTGGGTTCATAAAGGAGAATTAGGATTTACAGTTTACAAATAAATTAGATTTTGAGTTTAACTAAACAAATAATTTTATTCATGATTTTTATTTTATAATATGTTATATTTGTTTAATTTTTAATTTATGTATGAATGTATTATGCCATTGAGCAATTTCATTGTCTAAAACATAAGGGTGAATAAAAGAATTTCAAAAATAATATTTTTAGCTTAAATTAAAGATAACAAAGTTCAATATAAATCGTAATATAGTAATTTTAAATATTTATAAAGAAAATATGTAGTTTTTTATAATTCGTATTTGAAAGATTTTTTAATGTTTTCCTCAAAGATGCTATAATTTATTTTAGAATCTTTATGTTTATTTGCGTTGTTTATATGAATTTATTTACAAATGATTATATTTGTATTTAACATCATATTTTAGATTGATGTTAATTTGAAAGAACTTTACCATTATATTAAATAATAATTAATTAATTTTCATAGTCTGAGAATGATTTTTTACAATTTTAAAGTTAAGAAATAAAAAATTTTACAAAATGGTATAATCATGTTTTAGAGGATAATTGCTAAATTAAGATTTTATAAAATATTTTAGCAATATTATGAGTAATGGTGAATAGCTCCAAAATATAACCTCTATAAATTAATACTTGATAAATTAATATTCTCTATAAATTCATAAATTTCTCTGGTCCCAACTCGGACCAGTGTAATTTTAACACATTTTGATAAAATAATAAGATAATAATTTTTTTGAAAATGCTTTGTAAATATATAGTCCCATCAATATTATAAATTAATAATTAGGTAAAAATTTCAAAATATATGTATATATAGACATTTTAGTTTTTGTTAGATTTTATTTTTAAATTTTTTTGGAAAAACTTTCCAAATTATAAAAATCTCTCTATAAATTAATAATAATTAATTTATCGATAAATTAAACGTCTATTTTTAATAGATTTTCATGGTCCCAATATTATTAATTTATAGAGGTTTTACTGTAGCTCCCAAATGTTTTGGTGATTGTCAATTTGACATTACTAGATTTTTATAATTAACGTATAATAAGGAATTTTAAGATATATATATATATATATATATATATATATATACACGTTTATTTGATACTTCAAACCAAATAAATCTCTTACCAAATGAAATTAATATATCTTATTTTTTTTAAAAAAAAATTGGAAATTATTTTTTATAAGTTATAATAAATTTTAGGGGGAATTTCAAAAATACCTCTTTTCATATACCTCTTTTTAAAAATATCCCCTTTTCAAACTTTATCGAAAAACCCACTAAAAATGTTGAAATATATCCAAATATGTGTGTAAGCTTATAAATATATACACAAATTATTTTTATATGTGTATAAAACTTTATATACCTTTCATAAATACCGTAAAAAGAAATTATAAAAACCTTATAAAAACCTTATAAAAACCGTATAAACCCTTTTAAAAACCTTTTAAAAACCTTATAAAACTTATAAAAACGATTTAAAACTATTTAAAACATTTTAAAATATTTGTATCGAATCTCCCAGTAGTAGATATTATATAGAAGTACCTTATAAACTATATAAAACTTTATAATTTTTTATATTTAAAAAGGGGTATTTTTAAAAATGGATAGATAAAGAAAGTATTTTTAACAAGGGGTACACCAAAAGGGGTATTTCTCAAAAATTCTCTAAATTTTAATTTTAATTTAATTTTAAATATAGATAACCCGTCAATCGGACGGGTACTAAACTAGTATATATATATATGGGTTGCCACATTATTACAACCTGTACTTATTCTATTCTCAGTATTTCAACATGTACTTTTGATCTCTTCATAAAACAACACAAACTTGATTTATTCTGCATAAATCAACTTATACTTTTAAAACCATCTAAAACAGTACCTCTCCAATTGAGATAGATAATCACGATTACTAAACCCGATTAAACCATTAATCACGATTACTCATTGCGTTTCACCCTAATCCAAGTCTCAACAACACCATATAACCACGTAGCTTTGGGAGAAACATCTACGGTTCCTCATAATTGGGGAAAATAAATTTTGGGATCTATCGTAAGGATTTAGGAAGTTACGAGATGCATATTAGTCCTTTGCTATGCGAAAGTGTTACAGATTTCAATCCGAAAAGCAACGCAAGTGATGAAGCTGCTTATGGTTCTGAGAAAGTCACGAATGGAGAAGACAATGAAAATTCTTGTGATGAGGCTGGTGATGGTCGTGATGAGGCTGGTGATGACGATAGAGATGTTGAAGTCGAGAATTCGACAAGCCAAATCAAGACAAAACGAAAGAGACATGAGACTGAAGATGAAGAAGACAAAAGGGAGAGTAAGACGACACGGAATAAAGATG